AACCCACACCCACACCCACACACCCTCACCCAGTGGGATATGAGTGATTTTTGGGACTTTTATATCTCGGGAAGGAAACATTGTTTTGAGCTGAAATTTTCAGAGACCCTTACTCAAAAATAGACCTGTATGTGGGCACGATTTCAAATAGAAATACCATCATTTGATTCGTTGGTATATCCCATCCCTGAGGCTAAAATTCCAGTAAAATGCCTATAACTCTGAGCAGAAGGCCTAAGGGCACTTATCCTTTTGGGGTTTTTCATAACTCATCGAGATCTATCTATCGCCAAAAGATGGGATCTAAACGGCTTGAGTACCTAAATATGTTCCCTTGTAAGTCAAAAATGTTTTATAAAATAACAAGTATACCACCTTCTCGTTGAGAATATCAACTCTATTAAAGCGAAAGTCAGAAATTATGAACATAGGAAAGATATGAAGTTCTGCTTCTACTCTCATGTTGAATAAAAATGAAATATGTTGCATCAATCTAAAGCCTATTGTATTTTTTGTTTTGTAGAACTCTAGCACTTTTTCTCGCACAAATTGGCAATCCTGCTCCAGAAACAGTTGGCTTTACTTCAAGATGTGCAAATTGTCGACCTTCATTCTCAGAAGTTGTCAATATATTCCAGTCGAATGCCAAACCAGTAAATATATATAATACATCAATGCTCTCTACAACTATAGAACAAGGTGCCGGTTTAGTCAATGCTTTTCAAGCTTTAACAGCTACCACAATCATTTCACCGAGTGAACTTGCATTGAATGACACAGTCAGACGACAGAAATTCTACAAGATTAAAGTATACAATAACGGTAATAAGCCAGTCCGATACAGTATCGGTCATCGTGGAGCTGCAATGGCCACTCCAAAACAACCAGGAGATGATCAGCTTTTGTTGATACCAAAATATACTGCTGACTACGCTGTGAGTTATGTTTAATTCTTTGAAGTGCATAATCGTAAAAGTTCCTCTCAAGAGACTATTGTTTACTAAAACTTTAACTAGACTGTAAGAATAGTAGAGTTGACTTGAAATTATTTTACATTCTAAATAGTGAGAAATGTTTCTAAAATTCTTCCTACTGTGTTACGCAATATTATAAGATTGATACGATTAAGTATTTATGGGAATATTTACACACTATGGATGTTGTTACTATCAAATTGAAACTTAAAATTTTGAGATACACAATAAACAACGCAAATCATTGAAGGAAAGTGGTTCCATAGAACTGAAAAGAAGAATCTTTTGTTTTCGTCAAGTTCTGTCGAAGTCCAAGCTGAGCAGAAGTTTTAAAATATACTAAAATTTTAACAAAGGATCTAAATAAAATTCAAATATTGAGTTCTTACGGAGCTGAAAAGAATATTGTGTAATCAGTTTTCGATACCATACGCTGATAATGTGGACAGTCAGTCGTGCCCCGTTAAGTGGTAGCATAGTCAGATGACTTCCTTATTATCGAAAGATAAAGTCAGTGATGAAAAGCTTTACAAGAGAGTAGCCGTCATTTTCAATTAGAGAAATAATGTTCACCACGGATATGGATGTTAATCTTCTTTCTCAGCAACTATGCCTTTATTATTGAATCATTAACTCATACTCAGTTTTGTTGCATTCGAAGGATGTTAAAATTTCACCAAAAAATTTCCAACTCCAACCTCAACAGTCACATATGGTCATTCTTCAATTTCAAGAACCTCCTCAAGCTCAACCGGATCTTCTTCCTATCTTTTCTGGTTTCATTTACGCCTCAAATAATGTTGACGACAATATTGCTCAGATTCCATGTAAGTACATGTGTTTCTCAGTTTTTCCAAATGCATGCTTGTATGAAATAATTGGCATCTCTTTAGATTTTGGTGTTGTGGGTGATTATAAGAATACTCCTATTTGGGTTCGAAATACTCCTTCAGGTGTTATAACAGGTCTATTGAATGCAGCTGGTAATTACATATCAAGCGGAGAATATGTTAATATGACAAGCTCTAATAAATTATCAGTTGTACTGGTTACAGCATGGTCATCGCGCATTGTTTTTGTGGAAGTTATTTCTGGACAAGGCAACCATTTGCCTGATAATATTCCAAGGTAAAAGGCGACTTCATCTAAGATTATTGATTAAACATTATAATGAGTACTAAAGATGAAGTATTCCACCCCCTTTCTGATTTCATGACTTGTGATTTTATAAAAATTCATTATCATGATCTTAAAACGGTAGTTTTACTGATCTCTAATGATCGTAAATAACCATGACAAACCATGTGAAACCCTTTCTGAAAAATCTTTTTGTATCTATGGTATCCTGAGAGTAACCATGGCCTATCTACAAAGAAACAGTAGAATCACAATAGTGTATTTTTATCATTTATAGAAGTAAAAAAGTGTCCTTTTGCTCTTATTACCAACGAGAATATTGTACAAAGGGCTTGACAAGTCGTTTGCTAGGGTACTATGTATGATTTCAAAGAAAAAAGAAAGTATGCCTGTTTCAAATATGAGTAGCGATTTTGAGATATATTTCTTCAAACGGAATAAAAGCATTTTCGCTTTCGAAGAAAGTGCATCTAAATAGATTTTATTATTCTAATAGTTATACATATACAACTACTTATAATGTAAAACTTAAGCCTTTCACATCGTGATACTGACAAGCAGAATCCTGAAAGAGATAAGAAAAAGCCGTAATCATACATTGCACCGAACATATCTAAGTGTGCAGGTTCATTGATGAATAGATATTTTCATATTTAGTTTCGAATCGACACAGTATATCTAACAAGACGTGTATAGTTCTGACAAAATTAACTTTTAATTCCTTCTAGCTCTTGGTGATTTTCAAGAAAAAAAAGAAGAGGTTCTTGTGTCCGTATTCCAAATAGTTCGACAATAACTTAGCTACGTAATATCGGAAAACAGAACGTTAAAAGATGAAACGTCAAAAGCTGCTCACAGAATATATCGGGTTGTGCATAACCTTTTGCTAGGGGGCTAACGATGTAATATCAAGTCGGATATCTAATGAATTTTATACTAAATTAAAGCGCGTCGAAAACTGGATTTATTGGTACTAAATAGTAAGAGTTATCAAAACTTTTTAATTTCGAACTTACAAAATTTCCAGAAATTTCATGCTTTTTTGACATAAAAAAATTAAGCCACCTACAATTCAAATACAGATTAAAATATTTTCTTTTGATATTTTTACATCATTTGATAGAGCTCGTGGAGCTCTACTAGACTGTATATATTTAAAGTTTTTTAAGCCATTTTTCTGAGATAAAAAATTCAAAAAATTACCTACAAAATTCTACAAAATGTTTAGAAACTCGTTTTTTTATACGGAAGAAAAACACTCGATTTTTCTCAATAAAATTAGCTTTTTCCATTATTTTTCCGAACAACGACGCGTCGAAATATACTCGTTAGACGCAGTTTTTCACACTGCATCAGATGAGGGTATTTCGACGCGTCGTTGTTAGGAAAAATAATGGAAAAAGCTAATTTTATTGAGAAAAATCGAGTGTTTTTCTACCGTATAAAAAAACGAATTTCTAAACATTTTGCAGAATTTTGTAGGTAATTTTTTGAAATTTTTATCTCAGAAAAATGGCTTAAAAACCTTTAAATATATACAGTTTAGTAGAGCTCGACGAACTCTATCAAATGATGTAAAAATATCAAAAGAAAATATTTTAATCTGTATTTGAATTGTAGGTGGCTTAATTTTTTTATGTCAAAAAGAGCAGGAAATTTCTGGAAATTTTGTAAGTTCGAAATTAAAAAGTTGTGATAACTCTTACTATTTAGTACCAATAAATCCAGTTTTCGACGCGCTTTAATTTAGTATAAAATTCATTAGGTATCCGACTTGATATTACAGCGTAAGCCCCCTAGCAAAAGGTTATGCACAACCCGGTAGACTAATAAAAAATGTATATACCTAAAAATCTTATAGTGATTGAAAAGGTTTTGATAGTTAAAAAATACTTTCAGCCATTACCAAATTTGTAGTTGTTCTCATTTGAAAAGTTGGTTTGGAAATCTTATCAAATTATGGTTTCTGAATAAGAAAATATTTGCAATTATTGACCATGTATTCTAAGTAACATTTGCTTTTATGTTGAACAAGTTGTTTGTTAAATACAAACAATTGATATTCATCTTCAGGCTAACGAAAGCCTACTAAATAGACAATGAATCTAAAATTTCCATAGGAATTCGGAATGTGTATTCAGAGAAAGGAAACAGCATTAATATATCAATGAAAATATTTTTTACTGTTGAAATGCTAATAGTAATTAAAAGTAAACAGAAAGATTCGCCATAGTTTGGCTCCTTCACCCTTTATGTTTTTCGCTTTTCTCAGCCATTGTTTGGCCAAAACTCTTTGTTTCACTCTTGACCTCACCAAATCATCTTAAGATATGCCGTACCTATGCAATGTCGAAGAAGAAAACCACAGATAAAGGGCACTGCTACATCTATTCACAGCACAAATGGATTTCCTTCCTGTGACTAGTCCACTGTTAATCAATATAGCTCTAATCTCGATCATGAATTCTCTCGTTAGTACTTCATTTCTTAATTAAAATATCCCTAACTAACATATATATATCACATCACTTTCTTCTATGAAAACTCTCAGATTCAGATGTCTTTGACTTAATGAAACTGTAAGATGAGTAATAATTTCTTTATTTCATAGCTTGGGCCTGATATATGCTGATGGTGGATTTCCACTGCGCTTCTATAATGTATTAAGAAATGCTCATGTAGGTGGAAGTAGAACTTTGAGTGAAAAACGTACTTACACTTGGTCTGGCTTAGTCAGCATTCCTGTGAGCAATGGAACCGATATAGTTTTTCCAAGAAGTCAACTTCCATCTGGCCAGTACAAACTTCGATTTTCGGCTCTCAAACACTTTGGAGATTCCAAGAAAGACGATGATTTCGACATTACCTACTCACCAATGTTCAATTTAGTGTATTAGTCTAAAAAAAACAATGACCTTACCATCCTTTCCTCTCATATGCTTCCACTTCTTCTTTTCTTAAAGCTTCTCCGACTTTGTAGTTTTTCCTTCTGAATCTAACAAATTCTCAGTCTAGTATTTTATGTCTAACAATTACTTTCCTTCAAATTATATTTAAATCAAATGCATTTTTAATTAAATAAACACATTTTATTATGATTTATCTCTCTATTCTGATAATTTATACATAAGTGTCACGCACTATGATGTCGTGTCCAAGTTATATAATACGCTCTGAAATTTCTCAGAAATTCCTTACGAAGACAATAAGACTCATTCAAAAAATGAACTTCAAAACAAGTACTATGAAGATTTGAAAAATTTATGTTGAAGCCATAATATTTCAGATCGATCGGTTCATCAGCTTAAACATATATTCATTCTTTTGTTTTCAATGTTAAAGTAGTAGAAAGGGTTGTATGTGAGTGTGGGTATGTCTTGTAACAAAAATTTTACTGGATGCTGCAAATTAATTACAAAGCAATTCAAAAGGCATTAATTATAAATTAATTCACAATTGTGAAAGCAGGATCTGTTCGAGTCTCTACGGTTCACCATGGTTTGAGCTTATTGGCGGTAAAATGGCTCACACTACATCTCTCTCCATGTGAGTGCCACGACACCATAGTAGACCCTGGCAGACCGTGGAAGTTATGCTTATTCGAATTATTTCGTAATTCATTGGCGTCATGGCCTCTTTAAAACAGCACTTGTATCGGCAGAAATATTTGATTGCATTGTTCTAATTGCTTGTGATTTGATTGGTAATATAGTAGAATTTATACAATCATAAATTGGCTTATGAGTTACATTTGTATTATCAAACATTCTTGTCATCACTGAATTTTGTTCAGTGATTTTTTTTCTTTTTATTGAAAACATATTTAATTGTTTGACATCACTTTTTCGAAGATGACAATATTTATTCGATCTTCAATAGTAAATACATCTAAAACAAAAGCAAACATAATTGTCAATTTAACATCCGATAATAAAATATTATATTTTAGAAAATAAACTTTCAATAATAATAATTCCTTTAGTTTAATCTTCTCAAACAATATAACATATAATTATGTTCAATTATTTCATTTTAACACATTCACCACGATATGGCCCACCGATGAGCCGTGCTATATTTTAAGAAGGAACTGTATAGAAAGACACTTTCTTTTGCTTTTTTCTTAGGCAGGAGGGTAAACGAAATATGTCATCCGCTCTACCTTCAATGTTTTTTGAGTCCTTTATTCCTTAACATGACGCTTCTTGTTAAAACATTCAAGACAAAAAAATTTATCACAGTCAGAACATAAAGTTTTTACTTTCTTTGCTGCTGCATAGCTCGCTTCCCTTGATTGTTGCTTCCTGCCTTGTTCATAGCAATCAGTGCAGCGTCTGCGGACATTGCGCGCATGCAGATCCTCCTATTTCTTCTAACTTGTGATGAGCGAGTTTCCGCTTCGTGTGCCCTGTCGACTTTTGTCTCGGACCCGATTTCAGTTTCTCGAATGGCACACCAAGCAATAGAGATTGGATAAGACTTTCCAGAAACCGTAGAATGGTTACTTTGCTTACAGCGTAGTTTTCCTTATATACCAAATAACTATTTACTAGTGCTGTACCAAAAATCAATTCAAATACCATCTTTCGATACCACTATATTGATCGTCTGAGACGCGTGTAATAGGTTGATAGCTGATCAAACAAATCAGTACCTTGTCTTCCTTCATTATAATCCTAGCACTACTTGTGACTTCATGATGGGCTCATTTTTACTATTGATATTTCCAGTATCATTACAGTTGCTGAATACGACGATTTTGTAGATATTATCAAAACGTCTTTCTTGTCTTTCCACTTTATCAACTTCACATCGTCTTTGTTCTGCAGCCCGTAACATTCGCCGCGTCTAAGGTTTTTCTCAACAAGTTCACATCCTGATCCGACACGATTACTTCTCAGTGTTCCAATAAGATACGTATCATGTTCTAACAAACGTTTCGCAAGAGAAATACTAGTAAAGAAGTTGTCAGTTACGACGGTTCGATAACATTCATCAAGACCACCCAATAAATTCATTACCACTGTTTGAGGATGCCCAAAACCTGCCATGGGATCTTGTTGGCCAGTATAGATCACGAAATTCCAGGTGTATCCATTAGTAGCCGCCAGCTTGTACATCTTTACGCCGTACTTGTGTGCTTTACCAGGAATATATTGTTTGAACAAAAGCCTTCCTCGCCATGGTATCATAGTTTCGTCGATAGTCACAATCGAACCCGGCATATATACTGACGCAAACTGGCTTTCAATAAATCCAAGATTGGTTTCAACTTGAACAGCCTATCTTGACTCGAATCTTTGTTATCGTTATTCGAAAAATGCCAACACTTGGGAAGTAATTGGAACCTCTCTCTGGGGATCGCGCTTCGAATAATCTCCGATCCGTACAACTGTCTGCTGCTCCAGTAGTGGTTCAGTTGCGGCATTTGTGCCAACCCCATCTCGATAATGATCCCAAAGAACTTGAGCATTTCTTCATCAGTGGTTGGTTTCCATTCACGATATTTGGAGCGTCTGCTGATCTCATGGACTTGCAAGTATTGCTCCGCATATCGATTAGTTTCACGAATCATAAGACCGATAATTTCGTCTGTGATGAAATGCCGATAACAATCGATAGGATTGACCACATTATCCTCCAAAGCAGAAGTTACTTCTTCGACAAGTCCATGATCTTCCATAAATTCTGTATCCAATTCCGATTCTATTTCATTCCAGACGTCTGAATCTACCTCGTCACCAGACATTTCTTCGTCGGAGTTTCCAGATTCAAGGTGCATTCTATCCATATCGTCATTCAAAAAACTCAGTTCACATAGTGAGCTAGCGCTCTCTTCTGTATCGGTTTCTTCGAACGACATGTGAATAATTAAGAAAATTCGGCTGCTTTTATACGTAAAATCACAGATACGAGAATAAGTAGGAAAAAACTGGAAATTTCGCTCTGACTCATGATACTTCATGATATGAAGAAGAGAACGGTGAATCATCCGTAGACGATAGTGAAGAGGTCACTCCGTTCATTTATTAGAAGTTAGCTGTTGGCAAGAATGGATATTTCGAAGACTTTCCCCAAGAAAACTGAATCGTGGTGAATGTATTAAATGAAAATAACAGTTACATCTTTGCATGTCGATTAGGAAAATTCTCAGCGATTGTGTCTGAATGTGAAAAGATGGTCCTATTTCATTTTAATTGTATTTTTTTTTCTATAGCACTTCTGATACTTTCAGAATCGATTTAATCTTAGTATGATTTTAATTTAGACAATGAACAATTTTATTAAAAAGATTTTCTGTTTATTATTAAAACATAGATTTTGACGAAGGATGTAGCATAAAGCAAATACTATGCATATAGAATCATTTATCGTGGCCAGATTCGCATTGATACGCCATGTTTAGGTCTAAAATATATAACCAATTAATCTATTAACTTAAAGATTCATTGAAATACAAACATGCACATACCTGGCTAGACCGGCACTACTTAGGACAATTTTTTGACCTGGTACTAGTTCAAAATGAAAACGATGCAGCAACAATGCTAATATGATGATTGATTCTAGCACAGCAAAATTCTGTCCAATACATGTACGGGGTCCAAGTCCAAATGGAAATGTCACGGGTGAGTGGCCTTCAAGAAATCTTGCCGGATTGAATTTATTTGGTTCATCCCAATACTTCTCTGAACTATATGAAGAAAAATCGTCAACATATATACAAACATATTATATTAAGACAAGGAAAAAAATTTTATTAAGGCTTTTTTTTAATTACCTATTCATAATATTCAAATGTATCATAACATCAGTTCCTTTTGGAATATAAATCTGTTTACCATCACTAGCTACAAGAGTATTGTCAACAATTGCTGTTCTAAAGAACACAAGTGCAGGATGATGATATCGTAGAGTTTCTTTCAGTACGGCTTCTGTATATGTTAGCAATGAAATTGTTCTTGCTGTCAGTTCTTCATTCTCATTCAAAACTGAGTCGACTTCATTTTGACACTGTTGATATACATCGGGATTTGTGACCAGATTGTAAAGTGTCCATGTTATTACAATTGCCGTTGTCTCATGTCCCGCAATTACTATAAATAAATTAAACATGCATGATACTTTGATAAGAAAATAATTAAGACCAATAATGTTAGGTGACAAGCGATTTTGCGCCTTTCCTGGCTGAAAAATGATGGTATCAATATGCAAGTTGTCAAATAGAAATTAAAATTGATTTGAAATGGGCAAAAAAAATAGGCAAAGCTACTATAATATCGCTCGTGTCAAGAGGATATTTTGAGACCTAAAGTTCAATTCAATACGTACAAATGTTCTGATGCTTGTTTTGCTTTCTTCCTTCTGTGTGGATCGATTAAAAGAAAACGAAAAAAAAAAGAGCATCCGTTTACTAGAGAGATCATCATCTTTGGGATGCGTTCATGTCTATATGCTTGAATGACAGTAGCATACTATTCATCAACGACTTATAAGAATTGATAATTGCGGATCTAAGTTGTAAGAGGTGAAACTAGAAAGATTTGCTTAAATAAACATGTTGCGTCTTGTAAGACAGGTTAGATTCACTATTTTCCTGATATACTCTACCACATTAGCAATCTTATTTCACATATAAATGATCGTTCAAATGACTAATTTCCAGAATAGATTATATGGCACTCTGACTATCAAATATAAAGGCTTTTTATAGGTTTTAGAATAACAAAAACAACTGCACATGAACTTGAATATGATGATAGAGATTGACATATCTATTGTTCATCGTCTCAATACAACCGATTGCCACTAGAAAAAATGTACATTTTTTTAAATCTTTCTAGTGAATAATTAAAATTTTCATCTCATAGTTGCCAATCAGCTTCAAGCCATCCTTTGAATATTCGTATTTCTCTGTAAGATAAAACCTATGTTTATCATCACAGATAAGAATATATGCAAATAAAATTTCGTGTTTCCTTACAATCATATTCAATGAACTCGTACGACAATTAAAACAAGATTAATATTAAAAATGATCAGAAAAATATCAATTTCTGCTTTCAATAAAGAGAAATAGAAATTTTTCCTTATACAGAGTTTACATACATTTAAATTTACGTGATCTGAATTTCCTTGGGGCTGCTCAACATTTTCGATGTTAACGAGAGATGTTAAATTATTGTACTTGCCGCAGAAGATAGCAAAATTCAATTTGCTATTCATTAACACGTTCTTATGAAAACAAGATATAATTATATAGTCTATACTATTCTATTCCTTTGGTCATATGACAAATCGATATAGAAAAGCCAATTAGTTTATCATAAATATCATATGAACGGTGCAAAAATTTATTCCTGAGTAGTCAAAGAAATGTCAGATTTTCTACGTTGATCATATTATCCGGAAACGTAACGATGCATTCAGATATACATATATGTATATAACTATGAGACTAAAGTTGAAGCAAACAAATTAGATTTTCAAACAAAAAAGGAACAATTTGTCTAGAACGAAGATAAAAAGAATTGAATATATACCGCTATTACTTACTAAAAGTAATTGCTTCATCTGAAACTTCATCGTCGGTAAATTTTTGTTCTTTATTCTCACCATGTGCTGTCAAAAGTAGATCTAGTAAATCGGATCTTTTACAAGTTGCTCTTGTCAAATCATGTTTTCGTTGATTTATCATTTGCAGAGCAATATTTTTTATAAGTTGCCTACACGTATCAATACGTCTTTTTCCAAATATTGGTAATCGATTAAGTATTGGAATCATAATAATCATGTTGTAGATTCGATTTTCTAGTTCAGTTGACGCTATGTTAATACATTCATAGATTTTTTCATGAATATTTGAATCTTTCATTCTTTCGATACATCTAATATCATTGGATTATATTTATCATATGATTTACTTTGCCATTTTGTCAAAAATTTCGATATAGTATCAACTATTAGTGATGTCATTAAATCGATATTTTGATGTTGAAAAATTGGATTAACTAATCGTCGATGTCTTGTATGATTTTCATCTTCGGCTAATACAATATTTTCATAGCCGAGTACTGTTGCAGCAATTGCTTTTAAAAGATCAGATCTATGAGAGAATCGACTATTTGTCTTTAAAATACCTTCTACTAATGCTGGATCACTTGTATTCCAACAAGGCAATGGACCAAACGATATATGATAGTAATCACCAAATTCAGCATATGCTTCTTCAACACAACTGAATGGTTTATCGGCAAGATATGCTTGACGATAACGTAATAGATCACCAACTATTGGTATATATCGTCTAGGAATACCTTGTTTGAAAAAATTTCGTTAAACTCGCCATGGATTAATGATCCAAAATTTAATGAAACGATAAAAAACGTACAGAAATAATGTATAAAGAATAATTGCCGAGTACATGTCTTTTAGATAAGCACAAGACACAATGTTAAGAAAAATACGTGGATGGTTCTCGTTTCCTTCAGTGATAAAAAAATGACTCCAGGTGCAAAATTAGTGGGTATATGTCAATATTTAACGAATGTGTTTTCACCTAAGTACTATTGCGGTCTCAAAACGATTGCTACATGACTTAGAGATATGACACAACAAAGGTAATATAAGGAACTTTTCTCTCAGAAAACTCTTTACTACGAAAGAGCAATCCAAATTTACTTTCTCCAAATACATGCAATATTTCTTGCAACAAAAGTTCATCTTTAACAGAATTTTTAAAGTAATTTTGTTTCTATTATCGTTTTTCATAAAAAAATTTGCTTAGTCTTTTAAAGTATTTGAGTTCTGAAGGATGTAAGAGTCAGTTTAAATCTCTAATGATTCAGCATGATCAAACGTTCATACCCCCTTCATAGTCTTGTACTCTGTTACATATGAAAAGATGAATTTTGTTAAAAAAATAATCAAAGCCTGAATAGATGAATATTAGAAGAAGTTTCTTTTAAGTGCGAAAAGATTTAATCCTTTCTGAATCAAACGTTAACGTTTCGAAATCTTTCATCGTTAAGTAAAGGCTTCATAATAGATGCATATCCAAACGCTTGTTCAAATATTTGATTTATTATTTGAAGTTCATTCAATGGGATTTTTTTCCATTGCTCAAAACTTGCCTATGTAATGATATGATACACTTCTGTAGCATTTTGTATCGGTTGATGTGTAGCTAATAAATCTTTTTTATCAAGAAAACCATCTTGCATACGGAGAAACGATATCCAGATTTTCTCATCAAGCATTAAATAGCGTTGCATATCGCCCGGTCGGACAGTAACGACTAATACTTCAATTACTGGACTACTTTTATCAACTACATGTAGCTCACACGTCACTATCGCCTTAAGAAGTAACCAGACACTTATAAAGCGAATCATTTAGACTTTGAAATTGAATAAATGACTTGAATATAAAATATTCATACAAAATTTCGGAGAATTTTTTCTTTAGTTTTTCAACATGTAATACGAGTAATCCTCCAGACCAATTACTACGTGAATAATTCACTATCTTACAACTTGAAAGAGATTTTTTTTAACAGAAGATTTCATACGAACATTAGACTACTTTAACAATTCTTTAATTCATGTGATATTCAGGTGTTTCGTTAAGATGATAAATGAGAACAAAAATGTAACAATTATCTCACTTTGACCGTCTATATAGATAAAATACTAGTCGCACTACACGTTAAACAAATATAAGCAGGAGCAATGGGTGATTCACTTACCAAAAAAAAAAACCATCGCACATACAAGAGAAACTTTCATTTGAGATTCAGTACATCTTCTATACAACCTAATGCATTGTGTCTATCATCAATAAAGTTTGTCCTGATGCTCTGTTTCTAATAAAATCGAACATTTTTATTTTCATAGTTGAATGCTTTCATTGTATATCAACCACATTGTTTAAGTACGATCTTCGATTTTAATGAATTTTTCAGCATTTTTGAGTGTGAATGTCGATGCTAGGATGAATATCGTTGATATTCAGTTTACATACACAAACAAATTAATTTCTTCATTTCATCAGTTCATGAAAGTTGACTACATGTTGGAGAATTTTCATTTCCAACTAAATTGATTTTAGTTTCTTTTAGATTAATATTCTGCAGCAATATCGAAGTGTCCTCTCTTTCAAAAATCTTGAATCTCTGAGTAATAAATTATTCTTGCCAAATCTTCAACAACATATCTTTCACGAAGGACCATTCATCAAGTGAAAGATCGCGTTATAATTGAAATCTAATTGACTTTAATTAATCAGCCACATTGAATATTTTATATTTTTCTGAAGATTTTTAGCTTTTTGCGCATTTTTTAGTTCTCAATATTGTGTTAATCTGTTTCTTTTGTATGTTTCAGACGTGCTTTGTCACATCGTTCTAAATAAACGTTCGTTCTAACAGATGCACCCACATGAGATAAGAAGTTGTGTATACAAATAATTCCTTGCTTTTTATTTAAAAAAATTAGCTCTTATCACAAAGAGAAGAAAGGAAAAAAAATATTAGTTAAGCAAGAACTTCAAAAACATTGACTTGCCACCTAAGAGAGGTCGCACAGAACGCCATAAATTTGTTTCTTTACTGCGAACATTTTCTGTACCGTGTTTATCTAGATTTTTTAACATTTATTTTATAAATAATGCTTAGTATACAATAATATGTTCTATAATATTAAGTTTGGATTAGCAGTATGTACAGAAGATGGATTCTCAAAACGCTCTGAGACGAAAATTCGAAAAAGTTTCGAATACTGTAGTTGAGACTTTGATATTCTGATTCAACATGGTTGATTATCGATAGTCAACTAAACTTCGATTGAAAAGCGATTCATCAATTGGTAGATTTTCTTCGTTTGAAATATTTATCATCATACATTCTACGAAACTAACATTCATCTCAATGGTTTAATTGATAACATCAAGATATAATTGTGTAAGATACAAGATAATTCTCACAAAGACACAAGTGTTCTAAATCTGCTCCTTTTCGTTTAGACAAAATCGAATTGTATTTCATTAAATATCTAATTGAAAAATCAATGCATATTAGCTGAATAGATGAAAAAGATATATTAATGTCCCATCTGTTACGTTTATTTACTGAACTTTGGTCTCTTTAATGTCCATTGCATATTTTAGAGACTGGTTGACATTCACATATGTCCTTGGCTATGGTCTTTCATCCATCTTTAATCAATGTGTATTTTCTATCGTATTGACAATGCGAGTATCATGATTCATGTGAACCGTCTTATAAAAGTTCTTTTCTGATGAACTCATTTGATTGTCTATGAAAGATTTTCGATCGTTTTTTATGATTAATAGCTCACAAACAAATATACCAAAGCCAAATACTTTACCTCATACTCAGTTTTAGATGATGATAAAATCGAACATATAAAAGAAAACGTGTTCCATTATTCAGCATTGAACTTAATTAAAAAAGAAACTTATCACTTATAATTTTTTGTACTTTTTTTCTAATAGGTCTCTATCCTATCCATATAGCACTTATCTAACTATGTCTAAAAGAAAAATTGTGTGAACAATCGTAACAAAGATATCATCTGCTACGATATACAACATTCAGAATTTCAAAAATTTTATTTTATATGAAAAATCGTACTATTTAATTTCTTTCATAAATAGTAACAGAAATAACAAGATTATCTTAAATTGTACGTAAAAAAAACAAGTAATTCAGGATTTATTCGATGTCTTTCTGCTTTTGAAATTCGATCAATATAGCTAAGGACATGTTAATTATTAATTAGTCACTGATAATGATGATATGAAGTGCAATGATTATTGTTCACGGTCATAATTCTGGATATATACATGGATGATTGATCCACTATGATGTTATCTGTCGAGTCAGATCAGGTTTCGATGTATGAGATCATATTACCACTTTGAATAAATAGATTTTATGAATGAGTAAAAAAACTTATTTTTCATTTGAATAAGAAAAAGAGGTAATTTCAATTTTTTAGCAAATGTAAAATTTTCTTGCCTTTTAAGTCATTTTATTTTTAGCATGACGAAAATATGTTTCAGATATTATCTTGTCCGGAAAAGTTGTGCAACTCGTATACTATGAAATCTTAGGTTAACAAGTACTGCATTTATTCAATTTAATGACCTTCGTGAACTACCACATATGACTCGTTGGCAACGTGGAATTACTAACAAAGGTCACTACATTGAACAAAATGCAGTACTTGTTAATCTAGGATTTCATAGTATACGAGTTGCACGAACTTTTCGGGCAAGATAATATAAATGTGTCGAATAAAAACAAACAATATATATTATCAAGAATAATATATTTAACAAGAATTATGCATGGATTACTAAGAAAAGTCATATTTGGATTAGTTATATTCAACATTGTTATGTTCTACGTGAACTATGATCTCTAAAAATTGAGAAAAAGCTTTTTCCTTTTTTTTATCTTAATAACTAAATAATTTACTTCAACTAATTGTTTTAATTGTCTTTTAATTTCTTCAAATGATTGATTTAATTTTGCTAGATCACTTTGTATTTGTCTTAGAATATTATTTGAATTGTCTGAATCATTATGCCATCATTTGTATCTTCTCGTTTTTCATTAGCAGAAAAATTTATATTATGAGTTGATCTATATAACAAAATAAAAGTTTTAATAATAATGAAATAAAAAAAACAAGTTCATTTATTTTCTCTTTTTTATTTACGTCATTGATTCAGCTTTCGATGCTTTTGCTTCTATTTGAGCATATTCATATGTTGATGCACCTTCATATTCATACCAATCTTTAATAGAACCTTTACTTATAGGAATCATTTCTATAAGAAATATTAACACATATCAAAAACTAAAACAAAAAAAAGAACGTTTGATTCATTGCAACTTACTAAATACTTTTGCTCGAGGATCAGCTGGTTTTCTAAAACAAACACGTCTTATATAAAAAAATATTATGGAACACAGATAATATAGATCATGAATAAGACTTATTGGTGGAATAAATGGTGAACGTACATAATATTCACGAGTAAATAAATATTATTGAGAATGCCAAATATTTTGTGTATTTTCATATACTTGATCAAATCGTTTACTATAAAATATTAATAAATTCTTATAATTATTTATTTTATTTAAATACGTACCTAAACATAGCAATTAATAAATTAGTAAGTAGAATATTCACAAAAAGCATATGAACAGCAAGTAATACATGTGTTGATATTGACCAAGCAGCAATATTATCATTTTCTATGTCACAAGAATAAGTATAAGATGACATATATATATTAAGGATATCATTTTCAGATTTTTGTTCTCAGTCTCACATAGAATTGATATATCTATATTATTTACTTACCATCAAGATAAGATAATTCATTACCAAATTCTCCATACATCAAGTAATAAATTGGATATGCTATTTGACGAAAAATACTTCCACCATCAAAGGCAGTATTGAAATCAGTTAGAGGGTGTGGGTGTGGGTGTGAGTCAGGAAATACAACACCCACACCCTAGCAAATAAATATCGAAGTGATTCATTATCAAAGCAACATGTGTTTTTTTTTATTCAATGGAATATTTGTAACAGGAAAATTAGCAAGAACTTCTTTAAGTAAAGGAGCTGTAATACCTGGAGTAAAAAATGTTGATCGAGTATTTGTAAAACAAAATATAATATTATGACGAATATTTTCACCTAAAAATTCTACTAAATGAGTAAAATATGTACGAAAAACAATATTTAATCTTGATTCATTTGGTTTAAGAAGTATACAAACAGCATTCAAATGTGAGAGATTTGTAATAAATGATAGAATATGTCCCATATTGAGATAGCCTTGTTCAAGACTACGAATATCTCCCATTCCAGGTGTATCAATTAATCTTACTTTTGTTCGAGTACTAATAGAAAAGACATATGATCTACAATGTTGAGTTACTGATTGACCTGGATGATAAAAATCTTCATTAGGGTATTCGCCACCAAATCGGACTATTCGTTCTTCAAAATTATCTCCAATTGTTAGTAAAAATGAAACAGGAATAAGTACAATGAGTCCACCAGATTGAGCTTCTTCAATTTTATCAAATTTAAGATAATTGACTAAAGCATTGATGAATATTGATTTTTCAACGGCACATTCTCCAAGAAGAAGAACATTTGATAAAATTATATTCGTGATGTTTTGATTCATCAGATATATGTATTGGTATTTTTCTTCTATTAAGTTCTCCCGATTTTAATAACGATGAAAAAATAGGTTGATGAGTTTTTTTATTATTAAAATCTATGACTTCTCTTGGATTTGGAAGCGTTTTACAATGTTTATTCAAGTTTGTCAATCTCTTTTGAGAAGAACTAGTGATTTCCGGAAGGACCATTATTCTTTCTGAATTTCTGGCTACTGATAATTGATAACAACCCATTCTTATTAATAAATAGTCTTTTTTCGACTAAGCATAAAAATAAAATCAACAAATTGTTCTAAGATGATGAATCTTTTCTGACCAATAATTATCCATTTTTTGGAAAATACGAAGGATTTTAACAAAGATTTTGATGTTTAATTAAAACATAACAAGATTTCTGTATTTTTGTTAATTAAATTGTACGTCAGAATGTAAGGAAATAATTTATTCTGTTAGAGAATTTTAAATTTTCACTAGAATAGCTATTACAATACTTGAGTTGCTAGAAATAAGAAATTGGAGCAAATTTTTCGTCTGAATAAAAATTGTCGTGTAATTGACAGAAATCTGTTTTTTCGACATATTCAAAAGAGTCTATAAAAAATGAGAATGTGCCAGATGCATCAACTCTCAGTAGCTTTAATACTTATTTGAATAATCTTTTTCTTATATTCGTCATATTATTACGAAAAATTTTACACTTTTTTCCAAATATATTATTTTCACTGTTGAGAAAATCAGTTTTCTCGATTTCATTGCAAAGAAAAACTGTATAGACGAATTCTAATGTAGAATCAACACAAAAGTCTTCACCGAACTATATATTTATCAGTGAATATTAATTTATGAAGTATAGTATTCGAGATCGAGCATTTTATTACTCCCAATATGATAGTGGCTCTTTATACTACCAAACGTTTTCTTTTGGCTTTTTTGCTATCTGCGAAGAAATTCATTTTCTTAATGATGAACCGATATTTTTTAGAAGTAAAACTAAAAGATGATTCGAATAAATATTAAAGGTGCTGAGATCTGTTGCATTTGACGTACTTCAGTTTTCATAACGATGTTCAAACGAACATTTACATTAATAAGTTGATCAAAAATTTAGAAATCTATTAATATTGACATGACGAAAAAGAAAACGAAATAAAATGATCTCAATATTTATAAAAAAGACTACCAGATTTGTTTTGATTATTCTTCATTAAAAAATGAACCTTTGAACTTATAGTAGAAAGCTAAAATTTTTCAAAATTTTCTATTACTTTTATATTAAAAATTCATGTTTCACTATTCATAATAAATATTTTCGAGTCGAAAAATGGACATAGAAGAAAAATAAAATCATTTTTTTGTAAAGATCACGTAATTCTATTTGAGAAAATACTTTCTATTTCTCTTGCACTACTAGATGATCAACAAAGTGCGTCAGAATTGATCTCTAATGTTCACAAAAAATTGAAAAATGTTATAAAAACTTTGAGAAAATTGGTTTATGGACTTCGTTGATGGTATCGACTACAACTTATGTAACAAAATTTTTTTTTTCTTGTCTTCATACATTCTTTTCTAACCTTCACAATCATCAATAAAGTGAAATTCTTTTTTCTTGGTTTTTATTTGTGCTTTTCAACACATTTTTTAATAGATGAAGTGTGCAAGGAAGAAAAATAAAGCCAACTCAATTTTTCACACAACTCTGCTAGCATACCTTTTTTTTCAATAACAAGTACACCAACAAGTGCTTATAGAAGAAAGGGTGTGGGTAGGATGTTAGTGTGTTGTATTCTAACATCCACATGCACAAGCAGCTCACACTCAAATCCATACCAGGACCTACATCCACACCTACAACTTAATCATGACACTATGATATTAGACTATGTTTTCATGACCTATAATCTTACTTTTGATTTTGTTTATTGGTATTCAAGACATAAATTTGATCGATTTAACTTTACTACTGACATGATAACTATTAATCATTTGGAGATTTATATCAAAGAAATTTATTTAAAATGATAAACTTAACAAAATACTTAA